TGAGCCATTCTGTTTGGGCATGCTATGAATGGGGTCTGGATACATGTCTTGCAGATCTGTTCCCAACTAGCAAATTTCACCGACGTGTTAGGTCACTTGTGATATTACTCTTTTGTTCAATGACGTAGAGACCGCGAACCACGATACCTCTACGTTTTCAATAAGGATGAAGTCTGAGGAATACGCTAGCCGACTTGCCAATCAAAGCCGTTGCGTTTAGCATTTTTCCAAATGGAATGGTGTCAGGGACCTCCCCTGCAAAACAAGTGATTTGCAACCATGACTTTTCGAAAAAGGTTGTAGCCGGGACTCAAGCACCTCATTATAATCCTAGTCGTCTACCTGACATGTTGGCAAGCCAAACTTCAATGTCCCCTCCTTTTGGAACCACCCCAGACCTTTGATGAACATCTTCCGAATTGTCTCTTCGAGCACATCTGCGGGTCCGACCAAAGTCTCTCCAAAAACCTCAAGACCCACCCGAATAGTAAGGAATAAGCTTCTTTCTGCCAGTCGAGTTGGTCTATGAGAGAAATTTCCACAGAAAGTCTTTTATACTAATTTTACCATTTCCACGAAAGCACTGTCTGTGTGGGTTCAAAGTATCATGTTGTGATCCTTTTTTGAGTGGGAATTCCAACCTTGCCACCTGAACCCGCATTCATACAAAGCCTTCTTCATCTTCTTTCGTGTCGTGTGCTCAATTGATTGAATGAGACACCGATTGGTCTTTTTTAAGATCGGGAAGATCATTTATGCGTAAAGTTGAGTAGTACGAAAAGAAAATTTGAGAAAATTAAGGCTATTCTTCTGCTGTTTTGAACAAGTAGCGATTGAGAACAACCCTCAGTCAAGGTCGAGAGCTTAGCATCAGGATTTCGGATTTCTCTCCAAACCTACGAGGACGCATGACTGGTTGACGTGCTATTTCGCAATAGGAAGGTTCAGAAGCATGGGGATCCCATTTCTGTGCTCGGTCTTCTTCAGAAAACGCTTGCCGTGAAGAGGAATGATGCCAGAATAAGTAACGAAAGGAGAAGTAAAAATAGGTTAGGAAATCGATGCAAAAACTTCATCTGCCTCAGGGTGTCCACATAATTTTGATACAAAGAAAAAACTTTCCATGAAAAATAGTTCGCTAAGTTAGAACGAAATCTTTTGCCGAGAATGTCATTGTAGGTTATCGACCACTAGGAGTTGAATGGTGAAGGTTTCAACACAAAAGCCTTTAGCTGACTGAGAATCGATTCCAGGGTGTCCACATACTTTTGGTACGCACTGTATCGGCAGTTCCTGTCTGAGGTGCGGCAAGGCTTCCGGAAAGTTGCACGATCGCGGAATGCCGGAGCGTGAACAGCTCAAAAAGGGCAACATGCTTGAGCAATTCGGAGAACAAACGGCCATCTCTTACGATGTGTACTACTCGGGCATAACCACCTTCAAATCGCATTCTCTTGCTGAGTGGAACTTGTCTCGCTAATTTCTTTCTTGAAGTTATTCAAGCCTGGAGGAGTCGCGGGTTGAGATAAAGCGCGTGAATGGCAGGGACAAGACAGTACTCCAGCTTGGAACACTGACTAAAGGAAACTCATGACAGAGAATACGGGATGGCCAGAGGCGTTGGGTGCGCACTCTTGAGTGAGGCAAAGCTGGATCGTTGTGCGATTTCATAGTGTCGCGAGGATTCGGTCAGTGAAAGGGTGAAACGAGGGCGGCATTTAGCTTTGTAGGGATTCGAACTTAAAGCAACACCCCCAGATCGAATTTGTAAGGTCTAAGCACTTGATAATGAAATTGTGGATGCAGAATTGACTAAAAAGAGAAGAAGAAGCAAAGAAATCGTCGATGAAACTCAAAACGGAAATTCTCCCTGAAAAAGGAAGGGCGTGGTCAGACGAGTTGTGCGAACTTGTCTTCTTGATGGCTCCACTGACCCGCACGCGTATTTGTATTAGCCGCTGCGCCGTAATCCACGTTGTGGTTATAGGGTGTGCGCTACGTAATTCGTCCATATGCTTTAAACTAGTCGCCAAACGCTGACTTTGTAAGGCCCTAGCCCCGATTAGCGCCATTGTTGCGCACTTTCGAAGCCGCTGCAATGGGATCCATGCTGCTCGTGGGTTACTCTATCCGTCACACTGAAAACATTCTTCGACACGACTTCTGCTGGAGGTTATGCTTTAAGTAGCCCATAGACCGGCTGCATGTGACATGAAAGGGTGCGAAAAACGCGAAAATTCGAGGATTCTTCGATCTTTTCCGTTTGCCTGCTAGATAGTATAATTATCCCCTTGTACTATTTCTTCCAAAACATAGTACTAAATTCCATTTACTGTAGATCTTCCCCCTTATAATCAAGTACCAGTAAAATACCGTATTTCGATCAATACTAAAAGGCCGGATCAGTTATTAAAGGCCATCCTAGTTAGCGTGGTTGTCTGCTTTATCCGGTTTCCTATTAATTTCAATGAAAACTGTTAAAAATCAACTTACTGAAATTAATATTGTGCTGGTTGTAGTGCATCTGCAAGGCTAAATGCTCCGATTGTGGACATCGCGGATACGGTAAAAATTGCAGCGATTCCAGACCTTGAAAAAGCTTCAGTGAAAGGTGTCAGCACACCGTTCGAATGGCTCATTCGAGTTTCTTAAGCTTTCATTTAGGTACTAATAGTTCTACTTCTTGAAATTACTCTTGATCTAACAGTTTAATTTGGCTGCGATTTTTCTTCTCATAGTCGGTTTCTGGGTTACACAAGGGGCTGTAGAAACTTTGAGATGCTTATTGGAGGAGACTTTGGACCCTGTTTACGACGATAGCTGATTACCAGGTTAGAGGTGGGGACAGCGATAATGCTAAATGATTCTTAGCTGGATTCTCAGTGGTTTATGACCAGGGGGAATCGGACAAATTGCTGTATATTACATGGTAATCTGTAAAACGGACGGCCAGCACATACTCTTGCAGTCCTAGCAGGTCGACATCGCCTCACCAGAGCTATCAGACATTATTTCTCAGGGGTTTCCATGGTCACACCTTACTTGGAGGGTAGTAAGACCGCAGTTCTGTAATCTGACACACATCATGATTATTTCTATATACGAAGCTCCACCCTAGAATTTCCAATTCCCCTCCTCAATAAAGCAGACGTACGGCAGGGTTGGGAAGAGGGTATAGCAAGTCACTGAAAAACTGCAAACGCTCTACTTTTGCCATCGACATCCATTTTTTGTCAAAAATTTGAAAACCTGTCCAACGTTCCCGCCTCCCTCTTTCACAACAATACGACCCTCTGAAGTACATAAAAGCATGAAAACCTGAAAAATGCGACTCCTACGAGAATCCCAATTCACTTCGCTGCGTCTAGAGCCACAACGGCGCTGAACCCTAATTTCAGACTTTATTTATCAGTTCGGAATTTAATATTTAACTATCGAAAGTCTATTGTGCTCAGCTAATCTAGCAAATAACAAGTGATTTGCAACAATATGGGTCTCAAAATTTCAGAGTATAGCGAAGGGTTCAAGGAACAACCCTGGGGTCTCGCGCAGCCACCTTTCTAAGTTGGAAGCAAATTTATTTGATTACATTGCTGGAAACGCTCTCGTGGATTAAAGACGTCGGTGGTCTTTGGAGATAGGTTTGTGAGTGCGTACCTTTGGGAGTCTTACTGCGTAGTATACGACTGATGCTGCTGACGGAAGGGCACACTATCCTTATTGCAAATCCCGTCGTTTACAAGTCGATCTCGAATTTCCCACGAGAAAATTCCTGGATCTGAGTACTTCAATAGGCGAATATACTCGACTACCTGAAACGACGGAAGTCTCTACGGGAATTGGTGGCACATCATTTATTCAGGCTTATGTGTTGCATATAGCATCTATTAGATATGCCATAGTTTGTATGATTCCCTTTAACCTTACTTTGGCGTTTCGTCCTCGGTGCGGCTCTTACTTCCACCGATTGTGCCCGGTTCGATTGATCCCTTTTCTACGTACCTAAAACCATTCGTGATTGATTCTCGTCTATGCAATTGTGGCGCAAATGGCGCAACGACTTAAGCCGCCGCTCTGTTGACACGTGTTTACTCCTCGTTTTACACCCAGATCGATCCTCCGTGATGTTCACCGTTTCATGTTACTAATAAATTCGAAGTTATACGGAGAGTAACTGGGGCTCTAGAAGGCAGTTTCCTCCTCCAGGCATGCTCCATTCTAGGGCTTTAAGGGCGAGGTGGCTCTCTCAACGGCGGGCGCAGTCTCGGAGTGATCGGAAGCACATAACCATTGCTTTAGGCTTTCAGAAGATAAAGGCATATGACTGAAGTTACTTGTTTCTTCAAGAACGCATAATGAACGCGACGCAACCCTCACAATCGTGCATGCAGCCAGATATATTGTTGTTTATTCATCTTTGACGAGAATTTTTGGAAAGTTTTAGTTTTATGATTTGAAAATTTTTGTTGTGATTTGAATATTTTAGTTTTTTTTTTTTATATTTTTACTATTTCCGTGTTTTTTTTTGATTAGTTAATGGCGTAGCGGTAGTGGCGCCACTCAGCACAGTGATCGGTAGTGGAGCATCTCCTCGTCGTACTTCCTTTCAAGCCCAACAGGCCTCCTACCAAGTTCGGTTCAAGTGGCACCAGTATACCTTTTAAGGCCTACTCTAATTGGACGCTTCGTGCAATCTTTAAAAAGGTGCTATATTGTTACTACAATTGTGAATGGAAGTGGAACACGTGGCTTATGCCAGGACTTGGACATGCAATTCAAAGCAATTGCAGTTGTTGTTGAAATTCAGGTTTCCCTTCCGAACAAATTCAGCGCTAAAGAAGCTACTTCGGAGCTGCCTAGAGGATTCTGTTCGAGGCGACGTACAAAACGTACCTACAATACCTCTCTTTTCTTGGCTTTAGTTGGTTATTTACTCTTAACGATCGTGCGAGTTAAATCACGGAAAACGAATTTGGAATCTATGAAGTACAGCATTGACCCAACATGAATGAATTGCTTCTTAAAGGCAGCCTTGTCCGTGACTCCAAAAAAGCATGCGTAATGGACATGTGAAACTTATCCCTCACGGCTGGTTTGGCGACGTTCTGATGGAGAATTTTTCATTCTGCTGTGATGCACCTCCTCAGCAAAAATTCGAAGCAACCTCACCTGCTAAGGATCTTGCTCACACATCCGTGACTGATTCTGAGCTGCCGTGAAATGTCACATGGTCGAATGCCGGAATGATGGAGTTCGATGATGCGAACCCTCAAAGCCATTGGAAGTGGACGACCGTTCACGAAGAAACCACCCAGCTGGTTCACATCGCCCATCGACGACGGCGATTCGGAAGGAGCTGAAACATTGCCAGCTTTCCTCCTCTGTTTTGAAACCGATTTTGCCGAATTTTGAGCAAACTCAAGCTCAACGCTGCCTGAATGAATCAAATTAGACATACCGTAAGACGTCGCGGTCCATTGAGGCGAATCGTAAGCTGGCCAATAGCTCATCGCCGCGCTTCACTGACCAGCGAGCCGATGCGCTTCCGTCTATGGCTCCGCCCTTGCGAAGGACAGTAGACCACGCCTTCCACTATGTGCTGTTTTACGAGGTCAAATCGAGTTCATGTTGACTACAGTGATTACTAACAGCGAAGCTACCCTAAAATGTCTCTACACACTGCGTGTTGAGGAATATGGTTCTGGAATGCATCTCAATACAAAAATTCAGAAGCTGTGTAGCGGAGTGCTCCTCGGCAAAGATTTTTCTATATTAGATGTAAAAAAAAGTTGTCAATATTGTATTGTTCCTCTTGAGCCCGCCATGCCAGCGACTTTCATCGAGTTGTTACTTTTTCAGTATTATTTATTTAAGTTGAACCTTCCCGCCCAGTAGTGCTTTGCAGGGACCACTCCGTGTATGCAGTGATATACCTATGGCATGGTTCCGAGTAACTCTGACATCAACGTCTAGGACCACTTAGTGTACCTACTGAAATGACCTCCTGATTATGGTTCTAAACAAATCCTGAGCATCAACAGTAGACAATCTTCAACGAGAGCGCTGGGTTTCAAAATGGCGCAACGCAGGGGGTGAAGCAAGTTTGTGCTCAAGAGCTCTCCACTACCGTTGAGATATGAGGGAAATTGTGTCTAGTACTGAGTAATTCTGTCTTATTATTACTTGTTGAAAACAGCTCAGTAAGAAGCTTGACTGGATGGCAAAATCCCTGGACAGTACTCTCTAAAGTCTCATCATAAGTTTTGATGCGAACTAAGGGCCGGAAATACTATTTCAGGATACTCGGAATACTAGTGCACGTTGTCATCCATATGAGGGATGTTGTCATCCGTGAGAATGCTGAACATCTGAGCTTTGAGATTCCTCTCTGCAATGCGCGCAAAGCAAGGAGTTTTCCTTCCTTGAATTCCTGCAGGACAAGTGTGACTTGTAGCGGCATTCGGCGGGACACTGTCAACATCTGGATTTCTTGAAAAAGAAGCTCAGCATCGAAACAAATTTTGTCGTTGTTTGTAGACAGCCTCGAACAACCGGAATGGTCAGAGAAGTGCTCTCGCAGTATTGCGTTTCGATGCCTTCCACGATTGAACTTTAGATCAAGTTTTCAACTTTTAGCAGGTATGGCTAGCTAATGGACGATTTATGCCTTTTTGAAAGGAAAGAAATAAGGAAGCATGATCCACGCTAGTCCTCTGTACCATTTCACATATTTTTTGGATCCCCTAGACGGTTTGCTACATTTCGGTTTTTGTTTGAACCTCGTCTTTTATCCTCTAAAATTAGGATGTCAGTTAACAAGACCTTAGAACTCCCGAAGATCCTGCTGCTATGGAAATGAGAACCAGGGGCTGTAACCATCGCACTGTATCTCTTCTCTTTTCACACCTTATAGTGTTTAACTTGCAGAGGTCAGATTGACTTTGGTCAGCAATTTTATATGGATTGTCTATTTGCCATAGACCAAGAGCTTCGCTCATTGCGGTGCGATCTTGTGGGAGCAGCAAACATTGTCGCAGAGGTCTTCCTCGGTCAATGAAAAATAGCAGCTCAAGCTGCGAGAATGCGGTATTTTGAGTTGTAATAGTTGATGCATTCAAAAAGTATTCCTAACATTCAAAATTACCGTATTTATACGTAGAGACAAAGGAATATATTGTTTTATTCGGAATTCAGAATATGGCGTTTTTTGGTGTTGATCGATTTGCTTCCATGGATGCGCCACGTATTCAGTTGTCACTTCAATTATCAGAGGCTTCTGAATAACATCGGGTAAGCGTCTCTCAAATAATAATACAGACCTGGACTGGGTGTACCTCACACTCACATTTTGTGGGTTATTCCCTTCTAGGCCCACTACGAAAATAACTTCTGCAAGGCGAACTAACTGGGACCAATATATTTTGTAAGGAAACAACTGATTAAAACTCTGCCCGTCCTCAATAGTTAAAGAAGGGCCCTGACGAACATAGTGTCCCTGAGTTCATGAATTTGGACTTATTTGGGCTGCCGTAGGTTATCCCAATTGGATCAAGTACCCTTGAATTGCTTATGTTCCCTGCGGGACAATATTGTTTCAGACGCCACGGAATCTCTGACATTTCGTTTTTTTTCTCAGTTTTTCGAGTGTGAATATTGCTTTAACGTTCAGCAATGGATTACATCGTTCTCACCA